CTTTCATTTTAGGCAATAATTCTTTTCCGTATCTGTCTATATTTCTGAGATGAGGTATTATGTGCACTATTTACATTATTCAGACTATTGTCCTCATCTTTGTTGCCATATTTATTACAATGTTTTGGCCGTTGTATGCTCTGGCCTTCTTCAAGTGGTTGGAATGTCGAATATTCAAATCAAAAGTTGTCTGAACATTTTCCCTTCATGACAATTCATTGAAACACTATTTACATTATTTGGACTATTGCCCTCATCTTTGTCGCCATGTTCATCTCAACGTTTCGGCCGTTGTATGCTCCAGCCTCTTTCAGGTGGTTGGAATGTCGAATTGAACTCTTTATTTCACTCACTGCGGTAGATTATTCTAGTTCATGTCTAATGGATGTCAGTTATCTCCTATTAATTCCCCTCTCAAAGTTCTCCACCATCATGTGTCCTTAAGGACACATAGCACAGTGGATAAAGGCATTAGTTAGATCCAGTAACAGGACCCAAAATGTTCAATACCTGGTTAAGGTAGTGGAGAACTTTAGAGAGGGGAATTAACAGGAGATAACAGACATCCATTAGACATTGCACATGGAACTAGAACAGTCTACTCCAGTGAGTGAAATAAAGGGTTCAGTTCAACATTCCAACCACCCTATCCACAATGATACCCACTAAAAAGCATATTTCAGCATGAAAGCCTGACTAGTCAGGACAAATTCATTACAGACTAAGAAGTATGAAATTTGCAGCCTACACTTCTTACGAATGACGAATTCATCACAAGCCAGGATGAAGCACTAATTTTAAATTAGATACATGTACTGTAAGTATGATTACTTAATCAAGTGAAAATACCCAGCATGTACTAATGAAAGCATAGTATGTAATAGTATTATACTTCAAGTGTCTACCATAAATGCTGTTGCTTTGTAACCAGTAGTTTATGATATAAAAATGGAAGAAAGGCGTTACTTAAGCAGGTGTTGCTGTAGCAGGAATTTGTTTCCTGTCAATATCCCAGTAACACAATTGCATAAATAGCTTCTCTCAAAACGTCAATTTAATTCTGAAACTCTGCATTTGTTTTACTTTAAAGGTCTCAGAATCAGATGTAACTGGGGTAATGGTGGTGGCGTCTGATGCTCACCCGACACTCTAAACTTATAAATCCTGACACCAACCTTTTATTTAAAGGATGCAGGTTGATTTTGGAAGATATTTTATAGGAAAAAATATGTAATTTCTGTCTGAATTTCTGGGATGAAGAGTTATTTACAATATTGTCCTCATCTTTGTTGTTGTTATCATATTTTGGTTGTTGTGTCCTCTAGTCTTCTTCAGGTTTATATCAATCTAGATAGCCTACAGGGACTCCTGAAATGAACCCTTTATTTAATCTACAGGGGTAGAATGTTCTTGTTCAACTGCCCATACTTAAGGATATCTCATCTAGTTCTTATTTTTAGCGCTGCTCAGTTATTACTCACCCAATTTCCATTGAGTTCCAGTACACACTGCCCAGCCCAGGGATTGAACTCACAATTACTATGTCATCAAATTCACAAGCCAGTGCTTTAATCCACAAGACTATTTTAAGAAAACCAGAAGGTACAACCTTGTCATAACAACATTATCATAATAACAACAAAGATGAGAATAATATTCCAAATGTAAATAGTGTAAATAATAATATAAGTACATATCAGCATGCAGTTTGCTCACATTATGCCATGTCTGACACAAGGGCATATATAATAGAGTACTTAGTGATGATCAAGTTACTCTCTATCATGGGTACTCAGTATCTGTATAAATGTCTTCATATCAGGTGAACAATCAGGAATGGGAGGCTTATATGGCAAGGAAGTTCACAACTAGCATCTAGTTAACAGACAAAAATAAAGTGGGTTGTAACTCAATACATCTTCCCAGAGATTCACAGTATACTGATGGATATTTATTGAACACAGAATCCATACTAGAATCAGTATCCAATCAGGACTCACAGAATAGGCTTGCCTGGGTAACAGAATGGAATCTCACAGGCTGCCATATAAACCACTTATCAACTTGACCAGTGTAACAGTTTTGTCAGTAAGACTCAACATCCACTACAGTTGAGTACTGTCTGTTGTTACTACTAAATTCTACATTTGCTCAGTAAGACTCAACTTCCATTACAGTTGAGTACTGTCTGTTGCTACTACTAAATTCTACATTTGCTCAGTAAGACTCAACTTCCATTACAGTTGAGTACTGTCTGTTGCTACTACTAAATTCTACATTTGCTCAGTAAGACTCAACTTTTATTACAGTTGAGTATTATCGTTTGCCACTACCAAACTCTACGTCAAGTAGTATTTGCTCATTCTTTGAACAGTCACTACTCTGTATCTGTCTATATTTCTGAGATGAGGTATTATGTACACTATTTACATTATTCAGACTATTGTCCTCATCTTTGTCACCATATTTATCACAATGTTTTGGCCATTGTACACTCTGGCCTTCTTCAGGTGGTTGGAATTTCAAACTGAACCTTTTATTTCACTCACTGGGGTAAACTGTTCTAGTTTCATGTACCATGTTTTAATGGATGTCAATTATCAGTTATCTCCTGTTAATTCCCCTCACCAAGTTCTCCACTGCCTTAACAAGGTATTGAACTCACACTCTTTGTGTCCTGTTACTGGATCTAACTAATGCCTTTATCCACTATGCCATGTGTCCTTGAAGATAATAGTCTGAATAGTGTAAATAGTTGGTACTCTGTTGCTATTTCCATGACAATTTTCAGATGAACTTTGCTCTTTAGTTTCATCAGTTCAGCTATTTACTTTTAAGACACATTAATTTGATGGTATTAAATCACCGTCATTTCCTCTGTATTTCCCACCCCCAAGAACTGCTACTTTACAAAAACACTACAATCTTAAATTTCATTTGTTGTCTATCCTCCTAATCTTCATAAACTTTATTTCCAACCATTTCTTCTTTCACTGATATCACACCTCATTAAGACTATGGTCATACCAGTTTGAAACACCACTTTCCTTATGATCACAGAATTTTATCAATGTTAGTATCTAGATGAGTGACTGCTTGGAAATACCAGGTGTTGTTAGCTTTGGATGTGCAGATGATTTAATGGATAATAGCTCTTGGAATTGTTAATCAGTGAGATTTGAATTCCAACAGGATAATAATAAGACTTGTATCACTAAATCACTATTGCCAAAAAAAAGATATGTCTCTATTTTCTCCCCAGATATGGGTTAATTAGTAAGACGTGTATCACTAAATCATTATTATCTAAAAAAAATCCTTGCAATTTAAATTTTTTTTTTGGCATTAAATAACCTGGAAAGTGTTGATAAGGCATAGAAAATGAATCAATCAATCAATCAACACCTCTTTCATCATCACCATTTTAACAGTAAATTTCTATATTGAGTGGCTTCAAAGCCTTATACTGGATTTGTTGTTCAATTTTTCTATATTTTGAACTATTTTTCTGGTTTTCATTGAATGCCTAAGGTTTTCTTTATTCAAATCAGTTGGAATGTCTCAAAAAGGAATTCTTTTCTTTAATTTTTAGCTCCTATTGAAATTAAGAAGTGAATTATTTTTAAAGGTTGTCCCAATATTTTCAACTTCATCCTTGTTAAATATAGATATATTGTTGCTGCAGCAGGTGTAAACTGTTGTCTGTGGGTGTTTTTTAAAACACAATAAGCCAGTGGCTCCCAAATAGTGCAGCAAAATAGGATATCAGGTGAGGCAGAATGATTGAAAAACAATCAAAGATTTAGAAACAGTTTCAAAAAAAAAAAATTCAAATGCCAAAAATAAATTTGATTTCAAAATTTCAAATTATTATAAATTTATTATAAATTATTTGTAATTGCATACATGAGTCCCAGTATAAATAATTATAAATAATTATTGACCAATTTTATCACTGCGATATTATATCAATTTTAAGAATATAGTAACTAGGGTGTGCAAATTGGAGGAGAGAGTTATCAATAATAATGTTCTGACTTTGGATCCGTGGTTATCTCCCTTTAACCCTCTCTGTGTTTTTTTTTATTTTTAAATGTACTTATATCATATAAAATTTGCAGAATGTGAGCAAACTTTCATTCTGAAAATGATGGTACAGAAAAAAAAGGTTTAGGAGCCACTGCTCTAAGCTAACACTTATTTTGTTATCTTTCCTCCTTATCCTCATAATCTTCACCTCTTACAACCTCCTCTTTCACTAATTTCAAACCTTGTTCATCATAACAAACTTTTGCAGGAACCCTGTAAACTTAGCTTTCAAGACTTGTATTGTGTGAATTGTATTTATTCATATCAACTTTCTATATTTCTATTGATTTGCATTTCAAGTGAAATTTGGTACCAGTATTAATTTGGCAGTAGTTCCCAAGAGGAAGAATTCTGGTCATGGAAGAAACTAGAGTAAGTACATTCATAAATATTTCCTTAATATGCATGTACAGGTATAATTCTTGTTTTTAAAAAAATGTGGCAAGTATTGCTTGTAACCATCTGATAAGCATCTCATCAACAACATTCACCTGATGCATATTTGGGTTAGAGACAAAGAGATTGAAGCTAGACTTTACCATTCTAAGTCTACAATTCATCCATGCATTAAATATTGCTGCTACATCTGATCTGATGCTTCTGCTATGGATTTCCTTGGTAGCTTGTTGGCTGTTTTTGTTCAACAGAATATCAACACCTCTATGGGTTATTTAATTCTGAAATCTAAATATTTTGTTCACAATTTTATTTTATTTTTTTTTTGAGATTTTAATGGTTTTAGTGATACATGTTTTACCAATTAACCCATAGTTGGGGAGTGAATAAGTGGCTTTATACCTTTTACAAGGGTATTTGTGCATAAGGGAATATAATGAATCCAAAGGAATTTGGAACTTGGCACTCCGATTAACAATTCCGAACCATTATCCAACACCATCCACACATCCAAGCTTACAGCACCTGGTATTCTCAAGCGGTCACCTATCTAGGTACTGACCAAGCTCAACATTGCTTAACTTTGGTTGTCATATGGAAACCAGGTTTTCAACTTGATGTGGCCGTAAGCCATAATAATGAAAAGGATTCTTTTTAGCATCATGGTCGTTTCCCTCATAAATGGGCATGAGTTAAAAAAATAAATAAAAAGATTCATACAAGTAATGATCATTTTAATAATCTTGCCTCTTAGATAAAAAAATAAAACGTATATAAAAAGTACAATTCACCGTTACTTATTTGGCAATTGGTGTTCAATAAACAAAAATTCTAACCTTTAATATTTTAACAGTATTCGAAATTTTAAGTCAGCCAAAGATTGCATATAATTTGTAAGTTATCTAAACAATATGTCAACTTTATTGCATAAATAAATCTATTTTTAAATGATGGGCTTTTCTGTGTTCCAATCTTTTTTCATTATTTGAACTCTTCATACAACAAAATAGTACATAATTTGATACTATGGAATAAAGAGGTTGCTTAACTGTTTTTTTAGTGTCAGATTAGCAAGGTTAGTAAAATTCTATCCACGAAATTGTAACATCATTTTAAAATTGGGTTTCCAACAACGAACCACAGCAGGATCTGATAGTAAACAAAAAAAAAACTAACTTTATGTGAATAAAAATACTAAATAAAATTATCAAAATTTTTGCATATAATTTTAATTTAAATGTAATTTTAAGAGTTTAATTTCAATTTTAATTTTCTAATAAGAAATTGTCCTAAAATGTATTGTCAACTTTTCTAATAAGGAGTTGCCTTTTAAAAATGCAATGACGTTTAAATGTCACTGCACTTTTAAAGGCAGCTACTTACTAAATAAGGGAACATGTACACTATTTACATTGTTTGGACTATCATCCTCATCTTTGTTGCCATATTTATCACAACGTTCTCAAGGACACATGGCACAGTGGATAAAAGCATTAGTTAGATCCAGTTACAGGACACAAAGAGTGTGAGTTCAATACCTGGTTAAGGCAGTGGAGAACTTGGCAAGGGGAATTAACAGGAGATAACTGATAACTGACATCTGTTAGACATGGCACATGGAACTAGAACAGTTTACCCCAGTGAGTGAAATAAAGGGTTCAGTTTGACATTCCAACTACCTGAAGAAGGCCAGAGTGTACCACGGCTGAAATGTTGATGAATATGGCGACAAAGATGAGGACAATAATCCGAATAATGTAAATAGTGTACATAATACCTCATCTCAGAAATACAGACAGATACTGAAGGGAACATGTCATTATTAGACAAATGGACAATTTCTTTTGGGACAACTCCTTATTAGACAATTTTAAAAATGCAGTGGCATTTAAATGCCACTGCACTTTTAAAAGCAACTACTTACTAGACAAGGGAACATTTCATTATTAGACAAGTGGACAACTTCTTTTGGGACAATTCCTTATTAGGCACATAGATAATTCTTTTTGAGACCTACATAGTAATCACTTATGACTCTCTTATTGACCAATGGATATTTTTATTAGACAAATGGACAATTCCTTTATATATATATATATATATATATATATATATATATGATAGTGAAAAAGTAGTGAGAATATTTGATTTCTAACCATAAGACCTGGATGGATTTGTCAGGTTATGTCTTGATGATATCGTCATTGAAAAGCATCTGAAAACCATGCCACAGGTTAACTCAAGCTTTGTGAGTGGAATTTTGTAGACGAAATTATTTGGAAACAGTCAATGGTTGTGCAAGCATGAAATCACAAGTCATCGTAACCAAGGGTTTGAGCGCACTGGACTTGTTCAAACTGTTCATCGTTCCAGATAATGTACAATTTCCCAGAAACTGTGAGGTCATATTTGCAGTATACACTATAGGTGGGCTCTATGGGTCTTGAAAAAAAATAAATATACCTGAGCAGGAGTCAGCAACAGAGATAGGCTAGCTACCCTAGGAGATGGGTGTGCTCAGAAACAAATATTCAGTCATTATTATTACATATTTTGGCAAGATAAGATAATAGATTATCAGACTTTAACATTTTTGAGGCATTTCTTATTACACTGGTAAACAAAAGAAATTTTTAAAATAGTGTTGAGACACCAAAAATCTTTTTTAGCTAATTTGAGAGTGCTGAATCTGAAAATGACTTCACTTTTTCTTGGTTTGCTACCCTTTCTGCTCTACAGAAATGCCTCATTTTTGGGGAAAAAAAATCATTTATTTTCTGTATATATGATATTGACCGGTGGCAATATTTCTCAAAATAAAATCATGGAAACCTCTCAATTCATATTTAAACCAACAAATATTGGTCTGCTTATTGAGAAATACTATTTTTGCAATATCAAACCTTAAGTCTTTAAAAATAACACAATTGAATATATCAAGACCAACAAGTATTTTCATCAAATCATTTAATAAACTAACAACAGAAATAAAACTTTTATGAACATAAGAACTATGGTAAAAATTTTCTCTTTCTTGATTGTCTGTCATGTTCAATGTTATTTAAGTCCCTTTTGATACTCCAGCAGTATCATATACAATGGAATAGGTGCATTCAATTGGAATGGCTTTAGTTGGAGTTTCTTTCCAATTTCAAGAACAGAATGCTCTCAATGTGATTGGTTTCCTTCTGTAGTGAGGGGATAAAAGGGATGGGATAAATTCATGAATATGAAACAGAAGATTTTAGGGTTTCATTTTTTTGATGTCACATTAATTATCAGGTTTACTAAAGTGTATTACTAATAAAGTTTATCAGTTAATTTAAATTTTGGTGATAAATTGGAAAACTTTGGTATATCTATTTTAAAATTTTGGACTCAAAAACACTTTTTTTCTCATAAAAATAGTTTATTTCAGGTGGCTGTCATAAATTGCTCAACCTACCTGAAAATTGATGGGTTTCTATGACTTTTATTAACTAAATTTTGCGATCAGCCAAGATCATAAATTGATCTTTTTTTCCAAAAATGAGCAATTTCAGAACAACAAAATTGCTAGCTAAACATGAAAAACTAAGATCATTTTTAGAATCAGCGCCATCAAATTTACTAAAAAATGTGTTTTGTTTCTTGGCACCAAAAATCATGTTGACCACTGTTATATGAGTTGAAAACTCATTAAAGATGTGACCTATTTGTCATGAGATAAGTTGACAATTACTTAGGTGACAAATATAAAAACTTTATCTTAGACAAGAGATACAGGGACAATTATTATCCAAGTGGATAATTCCTCATTGGATGTGTGTACAATTTCATATTAGACAAGGGAACAATTCCTTACAAGAACAATGAACACTTATTAGACAAGTAATCAATTCATTATTAAAAAATTGGGAAATTATTAGACAAGTGAGCTAAAACATATTAGACAAATAGGATTTTATTAATCAGATATTCCATATTAGAAAAGGAGTTTTTAGTTACCAAAGAAATGAAGTATTCTTTATTAGACAAATAGATTTTTATTTATCAAATGAATTAGTTATTTCTTTTTAGAAAACATGCATATATTTGCCAAAAACATGGACTATTTCTCCTTAGACAAAGGAGTGGGATTTTTTCTTATTAGACAAACAGGTTTTAATCTATAATAACCAAATGAATTATTCCTTATTAAACTAATAAACTTGTATTTATCAAACCAGTGGTCTATTCCATATTAGACAAACAGATGTTTAATTAATAAAGCATAGAGCGAGTCCTTATTAGATAAACAGGCTTTTAGTTACCAAATCAATCAGCTACTCCTTATTAGAAAAAAATGGCTTTTATTTATCAGATCAGTGGGCTGTTCCACATTAGACAAATGGGCTTTTATTTATCAGATAAGTAGATTGTTCCTTATTAGACAAACAGGCTTTTATTTATCAAATATGTGGGCTATTTTGTATTAAACAAACAGGTTTTTAATTACCACAGAAATGTGACATTCTTTATTAAACAAATGATCCTTTATTTATCAGAAAAATGGGCTACTCCTTATTAGTTGATGGCCTCTATACCTATTCTATGAGTAGGCAATTTTTCTTTTAAACAAGTGGGCTATTCTTTGTTAGACAAGTGGACAATTCCTTCTACTATGGATGTCTAGAAATGAGGATAGTGTTCAGAGTTAATTAAACAAGATTGATCATACAAGAACAAGCATTTCAACAGGATGCAGCTGTAAGCACAATGTATTTAGAGATTCTTGAGACATAATGAGGAAAGAAGGTTTAAAGAGCTTAATGGATTACAATGAATATTGATAAAATACAAAGAATCTGCAATGTTATTGGTCCTGACCTAATATCTAAGTTTCAGTCACTTTCTCCCTATAATGTAGAGTGGGGAAAATAAGTATTTCATCCCCTGCTGATTTTCTGAGTTTACCACCTTACAAAAATAGGAACAGTCTATAATTTTTAGGGTAATTTTTTTTATAATCTATTTCTCGCATTCAAGACAGACCTAGCCTGAAAATTATAGACTGTTCTCATTTTTGTAAGTTGGCAAACTCAGGAAAAAACAACAGGGGATGAAATAGTTATTTTCCCCACAGTAGCTGCTCTGAGGCTTTTCTATAAATATTTTCATAATAATTATGATAAGTTTTCCTCTTTGGTAAGTAGACTTTATGAATTTAAGGGCAGTTCTTGGTTGTTAGTTAGGTCTCATCTATTCACAGTTAAAATGATGAGATGTAACTCTGTTCTATCCTAACAGTTTCTTCTTTCACATTTCTTGATAGTGGAACTTTGTTCTGCACTCTTACTTTCCAGTCAACTTTGTGAAGAATTACCTCAGAGGTCCAAGAGGGTGAGAGTAACATAGCCTAAATGTGCATATAGGGCAAGTGAATTGCTAGCGAGGCAAACCATCCAAGCATTGGTACTGGAATGACAGTGGGCTCAATATGCTTGGCAAGAACATATAAAAAAGGCGAGTGTTTGTTGAGTCATCAGAAGGCTTGTGCATCTGATGCAGGTCATATTGGTATGTACTGAACCAGAATTCATTGCAAATGGGTTTCCAATGTCTCTGCTACAGAATCCCAGGTTTCCTGCTACAAACTTTGATACTCAAA